GCTACGTTCGGTGATCGATCTAATAATACATTATGTGTATACATGCACATTATATGTCATCTTGTGCGTTCGAACAATTACGTCGATACGCTTCAAAATTATAGCTGCTATTTATACAGAAAGTTACTATAGAAAAAATAGAAACATAGAATATTTTATTTACAATAAGAATATGTAACTGTGCTTCATACATATAATTATAATACTTAATAATATTCGTAATAAATAACAATCTATCTACCTACTCTTTGATACCTTCATTTTGTGTACATTGAAATTCATTTTTATCTTTCATAAATAATACAATGTATTTCCGACGTAAAGACATAATAAATATATCTGTCGATGTCAATAAAACAAAAATGAAAATAATCGTACCGTTGTAACATCACCACGATCGCTTTTGCTCAGAATATAAAAGCATCCATCGTCAGCTATTGATGTTTCAATTTTTCCTCGGTGACGGAAGCGCTTTTTTCAGCGGGAACATTGCAGATCAACATCAAGCCGAGAAGTACCAAGGAAGTTCCGCACCACCAGGTCAATGAAGTGGATTCATCAAATACGATGTAGCCTACGAATGCCTTCGAGAAGGATATTTATAAAATTAGCATTTCATAATGATATGATCGGGACTTTTAATATTTTCACAATTAAACCTGTGTGTGCTTGAAATAATACATTTAAATTTCAACTTTCGAGTAGGAATGAAGAAAAAAATAAGTGTAATAGATATAAAATATTATGAAAAATATTTAAAATGTTATAAAAATATATTTCATATTTATACGTATGTTTCTTACTAATTTTGGCCAAATTTCTTTTTATTATTACTATTGCACAGAATTAGATTCATCATGCAAAAATGAAGTCTTCTGTTGTTTTTTGCACTTAAAAATTGCTTATGAAAGAAATATAAAATATTAGAAATCAATATGATCAGCAAGCCACGTGTTTCATATAGGGTAACATATAGGACAAACTATAGATATGGATATAACTGCATTTTTATTTCTTGAGGTTCACCAATTGATGACGTTCTTAAGTTTAAAAATGCACCTACGTATATCCTCGCACAAACCCAAACTTAATCTTATAAATATTTAATTTCACGCCGACGTAATCGATATATATATACATGTCGTTTTACTTATAGCTATCGCGAACAAATTAAATCAATTTTCACGAAGAATTACAAAAGAATTCTGTCGTGACGTGTAAAACGATATTTCTACATCTCTGATCATTTTCACTTAATAGACTAATAAGACAAAGTCTTGCTAATATTTCACGTTCGGAAAGGGAGAAAATAGAAATATTCGCGAAATATGGCGAACGTCATTATTTCTATTATTCTATTAATAATTTTCTGGCGCAGTTGATCTCCTAGTGTATAATATACTATACTACTACCTATCGAGATTGTATTTCAATAGCGTGTATCATATCATACAATTCTCGTTCAATCGTCATGTACCTGTGCACATATAATTGCTATGACCGCATTGTACACACTAGCGGAATTGCGTCTAGTTTGCGAAACAACTTTCACTCTTTGCGAACCGACTCTCGGAAGTATATCAGACCACCAGCTATAGACAAATAATTGCTACCGACAAATGTCCTTCTGCAAATTATTTCCCTTCTCCATTTTATTCCATTACCGATGCTAAAACTTTCTCGAAAATATATCTGGCCAGATGTTTCACGGTGATCTATTTCTTTCTGCGATAAACACGATGGATGATCGTCCTGTCGCGACCTTAATTTCATCAGTGACGGATTCTCCAATTTGAAGAAGATTTTTTTCTTTAGAAAAAGGCTATTTATGTGATAACTTTCTAATTTTCAATTTTATTATATTTATAAATCACGAATTAAAATTCGTTGAAATAGAATTCTATTAAAATTTAATTTAAGAATATTATTATTATATCATTTATTTACGGTTTTTTAAATAAAAATTATTGTATTTCTTTTAATGACAAGTTCCCAAATTTGAAGTATCGAACTTTTTCTTGATGAAAAGTCATCAATGATATAATAATTTTTTTATTTATAATTTCATGTGTATCATTATAATAATTGTGAATTAAAATTGAGATAGAATTCCTTAAAATTTCAATTAAGAAGTAACACTATATTATTCATGACGTTTGTGTGGAATCTGTCCTAAAGTTTTTAAAAAGTTTCTTTTTCGTTACTTTATCACTTCAAAATAATTACTGATGCCTTGAGATTTTCGTTAAATCAAGTTTAAGTTCATTAAAGAATTTAACATGAGATTAAAATCACGAGAGGAAGATCGCGTTAAACCATGTTACCTAATAAAAATATTATTTACGAGATTAATTATAAGATTTAACAACTCACTGAACAAATATAGTTCGTAGCTGCACTGGCGACCGTTATCGGCAAAGAAGATCCGCTGGCATGAAGCGCTTTGACAAAAAACGTACATCCTATGGTGTTGCACACGATCATAAAGATGAGAAGTACTCCTTTTAGAAACAACGATGACTATCGTAAAAAAAAAAATAAACATGTAAACATTATATTTTATACTTTTATATTTTAATTTTTTTATTATTTTTAATGTTAAATTTTTAACGTTTGATCTATTTCTAATTTCTTACTGTTTAATCACTCGTCATTTTCACTTGTTTCCCTTTTCTTGTAATTTCAAATATTGTTTAAATCCAATTTGTAAATGCATGTAAAGTTACTATTATTATTATTATAACGTATAAATACAGTTAAAACAGTTAAATACAGTTAAAACAATTTTATATATAAGAACACATTTCTTATTATTATCTTACAAATGAATAAAGAAGGCAATATTCGTGAAAATGATCTTGTTGCCTAATGACACTTTGTGAATATTATAATTTCCAATTTAAAAGCAAACATATTGTTATATTTATATATCAAGACCTTTTAATAGAATATGGCCTTCTTAGTTTATTTGTGTTAAACATTTTTCAGTGAATTTTTTTCTTAAATATTTTTATTATATAATACTTTACACAAAAAAAAGCATATTGTATACATTGCTATAAACACGTACGTTGTGCAAATTAAAAATATTCTAAATTCCTTAATCATTAACTTTTTCTTCTAGAAAAAATTTTGTAAATAAAAATTCGCAGTCTACTTGGGCAGTTTGATAAATCAGTGATTTTTTAAAAGGAGGCTATGTTGAAAAATAAGACGAATTTTGAGGTTTGTTCGCATCGCATGCTCCAACATATTCCAATATGCTTCTACTATAGCTCTTACTCACTTCAATGTGCTTGATAGAGTGAGTAGGAGCATGTTGGAGCTTGCGACGCGAACAAACCTTTGATAAAAAGAAAAATTTTTAAGTCACTAAAGCTGGAAACACAATAGACACAGGCAATAGGCACAGGCAACAGGGAATAACGAACCGTCCAATCAGAGCTCTGGAATATAAGTTCGATATTATATCCCAGAGCTGTGATTGGACGGCTCGTTATTCCCTGTTGCCTGTGCCTATTGCCTGTGCCTATTGCCTATGTCTATTGTGTTTAAGACTTAACTCATAAAATTACCCCTATATTTCGCCCTGTTTACCGACGAATGACGATTCGAATCAGCCGCCAACTCACCAATGACGACGCATCAGCGCCACCGGCGAGCTTGCCGAGAAGACTACCACTGGTCGCAAAAATGCCAGCAATAACCGCGAGATGCGCCCCACTGCCGGCGCCACCACCGCGTCCTTCCATATCGGTAAACAATGCACGTGGATGTCCGGTTCGGAATGTCCGGATGTTGACGACGTCGGCGAGATTAGAGTTGGACAAGACCGGCGGGCGACGTCCAAGGTCGTCGTTCGCGGTGTGGTACCACGCGGTACCGAAGGTACCGAGAGTGGAGACAGGTGGTGAACGGCGCCGCGTCGTCGCCGCCGTCGCGAATGATAAGATTCGTTCTTATCTGCTCGCGACCGCGATCGAGATCACTTTTGTATACAACGATGAGGCGAATATCGAGTGCGATCGTACGATGTCACGGCCAGGAATGACGGTGAATACGTGGATGAGTCACCTGAGCACGCGCATGATCGATGATGAGGGCGCGCGTCTTCGGACGTACAAATCGATCTTAATTTATGAAAATGAAAAAAAGATTTTTTTTTTTATTAACAAATCTCGATTTTGAATACATGGATTTCATCCGAAACTTGAATCGCGAAACGATTATGTAATTAACGCGCATCTCTCAGTCGGCATTGTCATTCTTAACATTCCGATGTAATGCACATTATTAAAGCCGTCCTCCATAGATTGATGTAAAAATATGTGTTTAATACCCGTTTCTACCCCCCAGTGTAATTTAATTTTTATTTCAATCCAACTACACTGAGAGAAATACTTGATACGTATTAATCATTCAATTTGATATATATGACTAATAAAAACTTCCTTACTTTTTCACAGACACGTGTCATACTAAATTTATTGTTCTAATTAAAATTACGTAATGAAAATTCAATGAAGAATGTAAGTGTTTTTAATACGATTTGAATCCCATTTGATTCATTGTGTTTTACGGAAACGTAGTTACGAGGAACAAAAGGGACTATCGCATTATCTGCACGTGGATATGACAACACGTTCTGCGACGTTGATGTCATATACATGTGACAGTGATAATTTCTCGTAATAGGAAAACGTTTGTCATACGTAATTAAAAAATGTATAGTACATGTGTTGAGTGACAAAAAAAAACGACTTGAAGCTCGTGTCACATTATGCATTCGAGATTGAGGAGATTACGAGTTGGAGATTAGAATTCATCAGAATGAAATGGATTCAAATTAAAATTATATGACTAGTCGAATTTTTAATCTCTAATATAATCTCCATTTCTACCATTTCTAATTAAAATTAACTTTAACTATTTTCTGCTTCTAAAAATCAGAAAAGGATAAAGAGCAAATTCGAGATTAAAGTCAATCTACATTTGTCGAAATGGTCCTAATTCATAATCCGTAATCTTGAATGCCAAATGCGTAATGTAATCCGGGCTTAAAGTACTGCCTAGGAATTTAAGTTCAATTTGAAATTCAGCGGAGCGCGGCAGACTCACGCTTCGTCGATCAGTTCGTCCGGACCGAGAATTCCAAACGATGTGAGAGCATCGAGAGGACTCCCCGCTTATCGACCAGCTGGCGCATAACGCAAAACGGTTACGCAATAACGTTATTCCACGGGCGAGGCGGAAGTGGCGCAGCTGTGAGTATTGAGCCGATCGGCACCGCCGGCGCCGCGCGCGTTCGCCGATCGCCGGCGAGCATGCGCGTTCGTTCGTTCGCGATTCGAGCGAGCTGAAGCGAGCCGCGAGTCCAGTCGCTCGATCATCGAGTGAAGGGCGGCGCGCGGCGAGTGGCGGGG